TGTTATTTCTAGTGGAATAATTATGCATATAAATATGTAAGTGTTTTCCAAGAACTAATCTGGTTACCTATAACTTTTTACCTATATATGTCCTGTAAGAAAAATTTGCCAATATGTGTGGACTCAGTAAAGAATGTAATGTTTTTATACTTCATTGACACCAAATACTGGTAACAATCTGATAGTGTTTTAGACAAGAAACCTACAAAAAATGATGCATTTAAGAGTTTGTCGCAGGGTGCATATAAAACAAAAATAAACAATAAATGTTGTATTTAAAATGTGTTGTAATTTATGTTAATGCACTTATAAAATTGTAAAAACAGCCATTGGTAGAACCAGTTTATGCTAGCAATGGTTGGACAAAAATATGGTTTACTATTAAGTTAACATATTTAGAGAGTTAATTTGTTTTGTGTTTACGAAATGACATGCATTTATATTTTTAACTTTTTTGTGTAATTCCATTACCCCAATTTATATTTATTACGACGTTTCTTCTATAGTACACACTATACTACCAAATGCGCTATCGTATAGCAATTTCTTTAATCAACGTTCTCTCTCAACTCTTGAAACGATAACCTACTTGTAGAATGCTACAAGTAAAGTAAAGTTGTAGTGGTATCATTAATTTTTTAACAGCTTTAAGATATACATATGTAAGTATATGAATCTACTATATATTCATACTTCTGTACCTATGATATTCCTCGCAGAACGTCCGGACCTCAGCACGGAAAGACGTATACAGTCATTCGTTTGTTTCCACAGGAGGTCTTTTTTGCAAAATCACCGTCGATAATGCAATTGTATTCGATGAAACAAAATTCAATTCAATATCTGTTTGCAAAATACATTTCAAAATTGAAAAGATTATTTCGTCAGATATGATTGTTAGTCGAATAATGTCAAAATCGAGTTTCCCAGCTACATTCTCACCAATTTTCCTCCAAAACGGTTTTGCCGATACTGAGTTATAAATATATACATATAATCGACGGTGATTTTACAAAAAAGCCCTCCGTTAGGACCTCTGCACTACTACTAATAGAATTCCTGTACAAATTTCCACGTATTTCATGCTGCGGTTCGAACGTTATGCGGGCGCGTTTCCTTTTTATATGTAAGATAAAATATATATATGTATATATATATGGTATTGTTAATAATATTTGATACTTATTCAATCGATGATTTATTGGGATAATATTAGGAATATTGAGATTGCATATTCATAATGATGCTGTAAGTTATAATACCCGTCAATTTCGGTCATGTATTGCTCTGTGCTAAGTAATATACATCTATTTTTTCTAGTTACGCTGACTGCGGAAACAAGAGCAATATTAGGCGTGTTTTATTTGACCAGCAGTTAGCTTATTTTGTATTGAAGACAAACTGGCATACCTAAAAAAAATCGTCGATCGGTGGGATTTTTGCCGCTCAGGGTTAACGCCAACACGGCATCCCTAAAGAAAGCGGGAACCTTGCGTCAAATTCTCATTGAAATTCTATAATTAGTACAAAATAAATAAAACGAAAAATGAATTACAAACCTTAATCTATGGGCGTGAGGAACTTTTAATAGTTATTTGCCGCTGCCGCTGTTATGTAGGGACGGCAGTTAGTAATTAACTTGTACATTGAACTAAAGGCATTGTCAATTCATTGTCTTTTCATTCACAATAGTTAAATTTTTGCAAAAAAAAAAGGATTTGGCATTAATGATAAATCTTATTTTGACAGATGAAAATGTACTCAAACCAAAATTACACATTTTTTTAGATGGGTAAGACATATTATACATATATGAGCATTTTTCAGTTTTTTATATTGTAGACTTCAATGGGACAAAATAAATATATTTGTATAACATATTAATATTCCATTCACAAATTTGTAATTGATACTAACATTCTCTCTAAGTTAAACATTTTGAATTAAATTTAATATCAGGTGACAGTCTGTTGACTGCTGCCCGCATTTCCAAGGCAGTATGGAATAAGCTTTTTATTTGTCAACTATATAGCTTATAGTCAAATAAAACACGCTTATTATATTTAAAATAATATACTTTTTATGAAACCCAAATGTGTTTTTTTATACTATATTATCGACTAACGAATGATCAGAAAATTTCACCGGTGAAGGGCTTTTAATGAATTTCTAGGTCGACCAGCACCTAGATTAACAACGCGTCAACTACCATAATACCAAAAGTTTGAAAAAATTCATATTTTACAACGAACTAGCCTTAACTATACTGGTACTTACTAACGCAAATATCATATACCGATTAAAGGATATGTTGTCTGTTATCCTGACCCTAATATCCTAATAATTTCTTTCTCTAGCTTCTGATTTCTTTCCCTTTGATAAATAAATTATGAAATTTCTCGGTTGTTCGATACGTTTTATATTATGAACCGAAAGTGGAAACGCGTGCCAGGAAGCGAGAAGTGTCACCAAAAATGATAGCTCGCTTAATTTAGCTCGATATGCAAAGCAAACCCACTTACAAAAAAACTAAGATAGACGGTAGTATAGAGACAGGTCGCCTGCTAGAGAATAAATTAAATACTCGCAGCGAATTTACACTCAGCTCGGCTTTGAGCGTCCACTCTGCGAGGACCCTTAGGAAAGTATCTCTTCTCGCTACAAAACTTGTATCTACGCACATGCACTTTGCGAAATTTCTCTTAGAGTGGCTAGCTGAGAGGTGGCGAATCATTCTTTTGACTGACGAAAAGAAGATCGTTTTATTTGGTAGCCGTGGAATGTTATGTTAGAATATATAGTACATATTCGGGAATATGTATGTATATATACCATAAAAACAATAAAATACGGCGGTGTCATTATTATGGTTTGGGTGGGCTTTTCTTACTATGTTTTGTACCGTTTGGTCATTGGATAAAAACTACGATATCTCCAATTGGCGCCAAACAGCGTAAAGGACGATCAACTGGCGCGCTGTTGTAAACTCGGCTATAACCGCGTAAGCGGTGGCTACGCCAATAAAGAAGAAGCAAATCAAAAATGGTCTAATCGTAAAATAGCAGCATAAATACATTTTAACAAAAGTTCTGGTTGACATTTTTTGGAATAATATCGTACAACTTGCGAACTAAAAATGAAGACAACTTAAAGAAGAAAAAGACGCACTAGTTTATGAGAAACTCATTCTTACATAAGAACAAGTTTACGATTTAAAAACGCCGCTGAGATTAAAGGAGGGTTGCAGAAATCATTTGTTATGATATTTTAACTCGACCCGTTCAAATTGGCTTAACAGCATGGGAATGTTAAGAAGAAAGCCTGTAAAAAAGAAAATTCAAAGAAAAGCGTTTAAGTTGTGTCAAAAATAAAATAAACTAGAACCAAGCCAAGTGGAAATCTGTAATGTTTTCTGAATAGTCATAGTTTAACTTTACTGCACCTGATGGCTATAACACAGTTCGTCACAGACTTGGTGAACGATTCGCAGATAATTGCATAGTACCTACTGCAAAACATTACCCTTATATAAAGGAACGGTAATGCATTTCCAAGTACCAATTGAAATCAGTTGAATATTAGAGGTCTGAATGAACGCTAAGAAATATAAAAACTGATATAGAAGGGGTGGTTCCTAGGTGCACTTTTTAATCGAGTCTCCACATTTTTTAAATTAATTCGTTAGTTTTGACATTTTAGATTGGTAAATTAAAGAAAGATATGGGTATTACCTCATTGTATTGGTCATAAAGCGCCCCGATTTCAATTCAATATAAAACCTAAGGGGTCTAATACACGCTAGAACCTAAAACAAGAAACCCAAAACAATGGTTGAATTAAGGCAAACAATAAAAGTGTAATTCAAAGCAATAATCGCCGAATATTTAAGCGCTTTACACAAATCATCTTGTAAAGAGTTAAAAATACCATAAACGCCAATGGTGGTGACAAATTAACTTTACTGTGCTTTTACAAAAGCGGACGGTTTTATTGGTTTTAAAGTAATACACCAACTAAACTTCGTGTTTCTATTAAAAAAA